GTTCTCGCTCGGAGACGGAGGCCCCGCCCCTCCCCCCGCGGACGTGCGCCGCCGTTCCCCCGTCTCACCACAGGGGGCGCCACCTCATCCTCCCATCAACGCTTTTTCCATCCAAACTCACATTTCACGCGCCGTTTTTACATCCACAAATGTGCAAAGTTTTGGAAATGTGATACTAAAGCTGCTTCTTGTACTTTTTTTTTTTCTTCTCTTTGTTTCTTTCCTCTCTTCTGTCTCTTCTTCACTCGTTCTGTCTGTCACGACTCGTCTCTTTTTTCTTCTTCCATCTCTTCCACGCTTTCTCTCTCTCTCAACATTGTCTCTTCTCTCTTTTGCTTTTCTTCTTCCTTCTTTTTTCTCTCACTTTCTGCCTCTCTCATTTCTCATTTTCTCTTCTCTCTCTCTCGACCCCTTCGCTTTTTCTCATCTATTTTTTCATCTATTCTCTCTCTCTTTATCTCTCCTCTACCCTCTATCTCTCCCCTCTGTCTCTCACATTCTTTCTCTCTCTTCAACTCTCCTCTTTTTCTCTCTACCCTACTCCCTCTTCTCTCTATCTCTTCTCTTCCTCTCTCTCCTCTCTCTCTCTCTCTTCATCTCTCTCTCTCTCTCTCTCTCTCTCTCTTCTCTCTCTCTCTCTCTCTCTCTCTACTCTCTCTTCTCTCTCTCTTCTCTCTCTCCTCTCTCTTCTCTCTACCCTACTCCCTCTTTCTATCTTTCTTTATCTCTCTCTCTCTCTTCTCTACCCTACTCTCTCCCTCTACTCTCTCTTTATCTCTCCTCTCTCTCTCTACTCCTACTCTTCTTCTCTCTCTTCACCTCTCTCTCTCTCTCTACCCTACTCCCTCTTTCTCTCTCTTCATCTCTCCTCTCTCTCTCTCTACCCTACTCCCTCTTTCTTCTCTCTCTCTCTATCCTCTCTCTCTCTCTCACTCCTCTCTCTCTCTACCCTACTCCCTCTTTCTCTCTCTTCACCTCTCCTCTCTCTCTCTACCCTACTCTCTCTTTCACTCTCTCTTCACTCTCTCCCTCTCTCTCTCTACCCTACTCCCTCTTTCTCTCTCTTCACCTCTTCTCTCTCTCTCCCCACCCTACTCTCTCTTTCACTCTCTCTTCACCTCTCCTCTCTCTCTCTACCCTACTCTCTCTTTCACTCTCTCTTCACCTCTCCTCTCTCTCTCTACCCTACTCCCTCTTTCTCTCTCTCCACCTCTCCTCTCTTCTCTCTACCCTACTCCCTCTTTCATTATCTCTTCATCTCTCCTCTCTCTCTAACCCTACTCTCTTTCTTTTCTCTCTACCCTACTTTCTCTTCCTATCGCTCTCCTCTCTCTCTCCTCTCTCTCTACTACCTCTACTCTCTCTCTTCATCTCTCTCTCTCTCTCTCTCCTCTCTCTTCTCTCTACCCTACTCTCTCTCTCTTCTCTCTCTCTCTCTACTCCCTCTCTCTCTCTCCCTCTCTCTCTCTACCCTACTCTCTCTCTTTCTCTCTCTTCACCTCTCTCTCTCTCTCTCTACCCTACTCCCTCTTTCTCTCTCTTCACTCTCTCTCTCTCTCTACTCTACTCTCTCCTCTCTCTCTTCTCTCTCTTCACCTCTCCTCTCTCTCTCTACCCTCTCCTCTCTTCTCTCTCTCTCTCACTCTCTCCTCTCTCTCTACTCTCTCCTCTCTCTCTCTTCTCTCTCTTCTACCTCTCTCCTCTCTCTCTCTCTACTCTCTACTCTCTCTTTCTCTCTCTTCACCTCTCCTCTCTCTCTCTACCCTACTCTCTCCTCTCTTTCTCTCTCTTCTCTCTTCTCCTCTCTTTCCTACTCTCTCTCTCTCTCTTCCACCCTCTCCTCTCTCTCTACCCTACTCCCTCTTTCTCTCTCTTCACCTCTCCTCTCCTCTCTCTACCCTACTCCCTCTTTCTCTCTCTTCACCTCTCCTCTCTCTCTCTCTACCACCCTCTCCTCTCTTTCTCTCTCTTCACTCTCTCTCCCCTATTCCCTCTTTCTCTCTCTTCTCTCTCTCTCTCTCTCTCTACCCTACTCCCTCTTTCTCTCTCTTCACCTCTCCTCTCTCTCTCTACCCTACTCCCTCTTTCATTATCTCTTTATCTCTCCTCTCTCTCTCAACCCTACTCTCTCTTTCTTTCTCTCTCTACCCTACTTTCTCTTCCTATCGCTCTTTATCTCTCCTCTCTCTACCCTACTCCCTCTTTCACTCTCTTCGCCTCTCCTCTTTTTCTCTCTACCCTACTCTCTCTTTCTATCTCTCTTTATCTCTCCTCCCTCTTTCTCTCTCTCTCTCTCTCTCTCTTTCTCTCTCTCTTCATCTTTCGTCTACCCCCTGTCTCCCCATCTCTCTCTCTCTTTCCTCTCTTTCCCTCTCCATTTTGTTTTCTTTCTCCTACCACCCTCCCCACCCTCTATCTCTCGCATCCTTTTTCTCTCTCTCTTCACCTCTCCTCTCCCTCTTTCCTCTCTTTCCTCTCTTTCCCCTCTCTCTCCACACAGCGTTCCTTCTGCAGCGCGATGGTGGACGAGCTGCGCGTGTCCCTCAAGTGCCAGCGCCGCCTCAAACACAACAAAGCGCAGCCCCCCGTCCTGGTCAAAACCGAAGAAGTCATCAACATGCACACGTTTAACGACCGCAGACTGCCCGGCAAAGAGACCATGGCCTAAAACGGTCGGTCCACGGTCCACGGTCCACGGTCCGCCGTCCCGCACCGGCCTTTTCCATCCGCCGGGCCGGGAAACGAACGGGAACGCTCGCCGGACACTGGGACTTCACGGAAAACTGTTTCTCGGACAATTCTGGACTCGCGTTGTTCTTGGGAGTGGGTGGGGGGGTAAAGTTACACTGTATGTCTTTAAATTAGTTAGGGGTTCGACACTGTTTCCTGTGGAAGCATACATACCTGGGTGTACAATTTTCCAAGAGTTACCTCATTACTCAGTGCCAGGACTTTGAAAACCCAGGAGTTGCTGAAAGAAAAGCTCATTTAAAAATATAACTATATGAAAGTGGACCTATACCGTTATAGCGCCCCCCGCTGGTCTGCCGCCGCCGCGCACTCCAGCTCTAATACACGGGGCAGCGATGAGTAGATTTTTAAAAAAAAGGATAGTTTATTTTCAAAAGTTGTGAATAGAAACCCGGGCTTTTAAAGTAATTCCGAGTCTAAAAAGGCCGGGGGACAGCGGACGGCCTTGGCGCGCGCCCCAAATGTACAGCGATGACAGCGGCATTGCATAGCTCCATTCTATTATTGATCCATGTTGAAAAGGATATACTCTCGACCATCCATCAGGCAATAAGTGAAGTCATTTATTTGTGTTTTAGGTACTAACACGCAGGATCTGAAAGACGCTATGGTTCAAAAAGCAAAAGTTAGGCTACGTTCAGACTGCAGGGCTTTTTTGGTGAAATCTGATTTTTTTTTGCAAGGTCGATCATGTTTCAGATTAAATGCGGCTTGTACGTGATCTCCAGTGTGAACTTTAAACACCCCAAAAGAATCCGTGTATCATTCGTTCATTTGTTTTTCAATATAAAACCAAAAATAAGAAAACTACAAAACAACAGTTTTCTTCATTATTTGTCTCCAAAACCAAAATGAAAAAACTGACAATGATTTGTTTTTTTTCAGTTTTCGATTTTGTGTTTAAATGAAGAATGGAAAAAACATCCGTTTCCCGTTTTTTTCCCGTGTGATGCCGGACTTTTGCACTACATGCACCTGACTGAACCAGGACTGATCCAGGTCCGGGACCAGACCGGGGACCAGACCGGGATTGTTTGGACCATTCGTCCTCCGCGCATTTGATTTTTCCCGGGGAAAGTTCTTTTCAGGCCAAGGCTCCTAACACCACTCCCCGCTCCAGCTCGTCTGAGCCCGGCCTGAACCGGACCTGCTCCCGCTGGTTGGAATAGTTCGTTTGGACCTGCTGTCTCTGGTTTCGACCCGTGTTTGCGTTTACACGAGAGGAACCGCACTAAAATTTGGTATTTCGTGTGGATTCAAGTGAACCGAGAGCACCTCTTTTTTGATGTTTCGGTCCATTTGATTTGGTGCGGGTCCGAGTCCGATTGACACTTTCACACCAACAAAAACAAAACAAACTAATAGTTTTTGGTTCCGATGGACCATTTGGTGCGAACCAACTACTGTCAGTGTGAAAGCACCCTGAGACCGGGACCAGACCGAGACTAGACAGGGACCAGACGGGGACTGGAGTAGGCTCAGAGCCCACGTCAGGGCCAGAACTCGAAGCTGGGGCTCAGACCCTGTGGAGGCTCGGAGTCAAAGCTCGGAGTCCACTGTGATCCCGGTCTGGTCCCGGACCTGGATCAGTCCTGGTTCAGTCCGTACCCGGTGCAAAAGTTCGGCATCGCAGTCACGGAAGTCACGTAAACGGGAAATGGCCGTTATCCATTTTTCCATTCTTTATTTAAACACAAAATCGAAAACTGAAAAAAACGAATCGTTATCTGTTTTTTCAGTTTGGTTTTGGAGACAAATAATGAAGAAATTTTTTTTTCGTTTTCTTATTTTTGGTTTTATATTGAATATAAATGATACACGGATTCAAAAGTGTCCCACGAGAGCATTTATGAAAGTGGCCTAAACACTTTATGAGCTGGTTTCACTTCGTGGAAACCGTCTGACCTCGCGGCATTAGGATTCGTTCGCTCATTCGACGGTAGGCAGGTACTTTTTTTTCAAACACAACAGGACTCCAGGCACTTCACAGAAGTAAAAAAAGTAAAAAAATTGCACGAGAAAAAAATATAGTAAAAGGCCTTTATTTAAATCACCAAAGCCAACATGTTTCGACCTTAACTGGTCTTCATCAGGCCTAAATTAAAATTTTTGTTAATTTTAAGAATGCCTGGAGTCCTGTTGTGTTTGAGTTTTGATCGTTTTTCCAAGAGCGCCCTCTACCTGCTCCCACTGATTGGAACACCTGCAGCAAACAGTCACACTTTTGTTCTTTCGATACTTTAAAAAAATGTTACCAATTGCTGCTGTTTGGTCGTGACGTATGTAATGCGTCAAATCCCGTAGGAAGAAGGACAATAACATCTTTCCCCTCGATAAAATTCAACAAATGTTTTCTTCAGTCCAATGAGGTTCATTTGGTCTATCTATAATTCCGATTTAAGTTATTAGGTTCTTTTTTCAGACCAAGAGTTTTCAAACTTGTCAAACTCGCCGCGTCTGTCTGTGTCCGTTTTGTGGAACAGCACAACAGTAAACAAAGCGTCGAGATGGATGTAGACGAAGACAGACATTCTGTGTTGGCAACGATTCCCGAGATCGAGGATTTAATGCTGGAACAAAGAGAAGGTTTATGTTATTAGGTTCTTTTTTTCAGACCAAGAGTTTGTTTTCATACCTGACAGGTTCGACTGCTCACTTCCTCAGAGTCACGTGATGTTGCGGAGGAAGTCGGACTGCAGGTGGCACTGTTGTCCTGCCTCCACCGGTAGGAAGACGGCGCCAAAACCTGTTTTAAGTCAGCTGAGCGACACGACACAGGAACATCACGAGACTCTGAGGTAGAGAGCTAGTGAGCATTCGAAACTGTCAGGTATGAAAACAAACTCTTGGTCTGAACAAAGAACCTAATAACATAAACATTCTCTTCCTCGATCTCGGGAATCATCGCCAACACAGAATGTCTGTCTTCGTCTACATCCATCTCGACTCTTTGTTTACTGTTGTGCTGTTCCACAAAAGGGAACCCAGACAGACGCGACGAGTTTGACGTCATGACTTCACTGATTGGTCGATACGCGGTCTACAACTTCCGAGGTTCTTGCGAAGCATCTAGTGTATTCCGATTCCTGACCTAGTTGCTGAAGAGAAATGAAACTGAACGGAGGCACTAGGTGGCTACTAAACGCTGGGCTTGTCTCCCAAAATACGGTCCAGTTCTTCGTAAAATGGACAGGTTACACATCCACGGCCACTTCGTTTGTTTGAGTCTTTGGCCTCGTCGTATTTGGCTCGGAGGCTCTTCATTTTTCGTCAGCATTGGAGCCAGGACCGTCTGTAGCCGCGCTCAGACATTTCTTTGGCATCAATTCGAAAGCCGCCCGGTTCCGATAAGACCCCTCCGATTTGTCCTGAATAGAGCGATACCAACAAATATTAATAAACTTGTTAACCTCGCTTTCCCTCCATCGAAGAGACTCTGAACCTGGCGTGTAGGTGGGATGAATGTGACCTGACCGTTCAGACTGAAGATCAGATATGTATCGGGTTTAGGAGCACGTATCCAAGTGTCCTGGGTCACATTTTAAAAAAAAAAAATTGAGTCTGTGTCTTCAAACTGTCATTAAAAGATCAGTTACAGGTCGCATAGGGTCGAAAAAATCGGATTTCACTTCACTCTGCAGTCTAAACGTCGCCTAAAACACCATTTATTGCAAGATATTTCAATTATTAAACAAATTTCTCCAACGGGATTTTGCATATGGACTACAAAACAAGACAGAGGACGATCAGGATGAAATTTCGCAGCAATCACAAACTATTTATTCAAAAAATATTTATTCTTTTTGTTAAATTATGGACTTATTTATATCAAAAGCAGGATTTTCACGCAGTAAATACACTTAAACACTATAACGTTTGAATAAGTCACGTTTTGATTTCAGTCCATCTGTGTTCATTTTGTATCCCTGTGGCAAAATTTTTATTTTCACGTTCATTTTCTCGGCTTCACATTTTACGTGTGCAAATGCAATTTATATGAAAAATGTGTTTTTGTACGAAGACAAATCGAAAAATTTTGTAATAATTTTTATCAAATACCTACACGAAGACAGACATCCTCCACGGAGCAAGGAGCGCACCACTTGTGTTTCTCCTCTAGGGGGAGACACAAGGCATTCTGGGATAGCGGCAGTGACAGCGGAGAGAGTAATAAGACTATTTTTATCATGTAAAGGAAACCTATTTAAAGAAAGATATTTTTACTTCACGTGGGAGAGTTTAGGACCCCGGTTAGAGCTTCTATTAAAAGCTATTGTATAAAGCGAGAGGAGGAGCGCTGGAGTCTGGACCGTCCACGCCCCGGTGACGCAGGTAGAACGTAGAAACCGAGCAATCGTGTGTAAATGGTTTTCAAATGGACAAAAAGATGTATTTAAAACCATAAAAAATAAAGAACACTTAACTAATTTTGAACTTGTTGTGAAAACAAAATGGAAGTGCACACAGTTTACCCTTTGAAGTTGATGCACAAGTTTAAAGAAAATAAAAAATGTATTCACAACGACTGTCTTGGCTTTTTAATTCTCAAATAATGATGGGAAACAAATCGTGCGTAATGTGTTTTAAGGTTTTTCTAATGTTGGATCAGTAATTGCCTGGGATCCAGAATACACACTTCTCTATACTAATGGGTTCGGTCAAGTGGTAACGGAGGGAAACAGGGGCAGATTTTTGACATTCAAATGTCTCTTATTCAGAAACTAGAGGAACTATTGAAATAAGTAAAGTATCAGAATGTAGGAAAGAGTTACACTCCAACAGGGTCAAGTTAAACCTGTGAGATTCTTTCAAGTTGTTGACAAAAAAATTAAAAACTCATGTTGGTAACGGAGGAATGAAATATGCAGCACTTTTTGGGGCAATAAACTTCACATATCCTTAACAAACTGGTTTGAA